GCGCCTGCCCCACCCTTCCCCCTCCCGCCCCTTATATAGTCTCTCCCGCCCCGCCCCCGCGGCTCAGATCACTCCGCCAGGTACTATTTTCCCTACGGCGCGCGTCGCAGCTCTACTGCGCTGGAGGAGGGAAGCGAGGCCCGGCAGCGCGGAGGAGTCAGCGCTTCGCGCGGTGCTGCGATGCGGTCGGCGGACCGCGCGGGGGAGGCCGTGAGGGCCCGAAGGAGTGCGGAGTAAAACCTGGCGTGGAGGCGTCGGAGCGGGGCTGAGGCCTGCAGAGGCCCGCGGTGCCTCAGCTAGCCGAGGCGTCTCCATCTTCGGAGGCGCCCCCGTGGCTACAGCTTCTTGTTAGAGCCTTTACGTTGTATTCAGGGAGTTAAACCCCTGCACGTTGCACCCCTGTTTCAAATTTTCTTCCCTGGGGCAGGGTGAGGGGCAGCTGTGCCCACAGGCCTCGCTGGGAGGTAGGCCCTGAGGTGCCTGTGAGGAGCGGGGCCGTTGTTTTAGTCCGAAGGAAGGCATGTATTTCTATTTAAGAAGTCTCTAATATGCTGCAGGGAGAGAAGTGGTGGAGGAGCGTGGCCTCCCCCACCCAGGACCAAGCCTGATGGCGGGTTTGTGCCAGGCCTCAGTGCCACATGGAAAACAAGTTGGTGTCCAGCTGCTGTAAGGACACAGGGACAGCTGCCAAGGCCTGAGGCTGGGGCAGCCCAAAGGGCAGAGATGGCACCAGGGCAGGGTGGCTGCGGGACACTCCGGCCAGGGGACAGAGATGGGGCAGCCTGGAGAGGGGAGAGGTTAAAGTGAGGGACAAAGAAGGTCTGATGGACAGAGATCCGAGTCCTGCAGGCAGTCTATCTGCATGAGCTACAAGCGGTGAGTATTGAATATACATGCACACATAAAGGCCAGTGTGCATCTGAGATACAATGGAGTTTATAACTCAGGACTAAGGCCTTGCCTCTGGGGTAAAATCAATCAATAATAATGCCTATTTCTTATTCTGTTCTCACAGAGCACCTTCTGGCAGATCTCTGTTGCGCTCAGTTGGCTCCTGTGCCACTCTAGTCAAACTATACAGCAATTCAAGGGCATAGCGGAGAACAGAACAGGGCTTTGTTTGCACGATTCACGAGATGCTATCCGGTTCGATCCGCCTACGCACTCCTTCGTTTGCCTGCACCCAAGGAAAACCGCTGCCTACCGAAGCGACAGGATAACACCCAGCGCTGCACACCAGTAGGAAGGGAGCAGAGGCCCAGCAACAGCTTTGTGATTGGTTTGAGGGAAACCAGCCTGCGTTTGCCTGACACATGGAGCTTTTACTGGAGGGGAGTGCTCTGGGGAGCTTCTCAACCATTGGTGCATTGAGTTTGTATTAAAACCCAACATTGCAATAGTAATAATGATCTCAAACACCCAGGTCGTTTAGCTGGGGAAAAAACAACCCACAAAAGTCTTTTGGTTTCTTCTCAGGTTAGAATCGTGCTCAGTGGCTTACACTGTGTGCATTTGGAGTTGTACAAACATAAAATATCAGAATAGCCTTTCAGATTTAGGTCTTTCCTCATCTGAAAGTGAATAAGAATGCTAAGCTTATTATTTTAGTTACAGAGTGACCACTCAGGACTGGTCTGAAAATAGTAGAAAAGGCACATGGCAATGTATTTCATGACAAGAGTTTTGTGACAGCAAGAAATACAGTGCTGTTCTCCATCTCATTAGGGCAAGCAGCCAACCACTGATCATCCTGAGTGAGTTTGTACCCAATGTCTGAATCAAATGGTGGAACAGCACGCTCCTAAAGGTTCTGATTTGTGTTCTATTCAAATTGCAAGGCAGATGTTAGGCCCTAATGCAACAGTCCTTAAACACATCTGGCAGGTTGCAGGAGAACAGTGCTTTCCTGAGCAGGGAAAGGCTTTCTGTGAACAAAGCCACTCTGTGTTTCTCCTACACTCTCTGTATGAGTATCCCTTGCCATGATTTCAAGACAAGCTTGGTGAATAGTAGGATGTTGGTCCTAACAGACCATGACCTATTCCACTGACAAATACTGATTTTCTGTGCCAAAAAGTCCGTCACTTCATACCTATTACTACAAACTCTCTGGGGCAGGAACCGTCTCTTTCTTGTACTCATGTGCAGGGTATATTGCAGAAGTACAGCTGCTCGGAGAGGTCCTGTCCAGGCAGCTATGTACAACAAGGATCTTCACGCTTACCAGTACCGTAGCCAAACATTTGGCTTGAAATAACAACTAGAAGTAACACCACTAAATAAATAGCACAAGGAGTGTTCTCACCACTCTGGCAGGACATGTCATTTTCCATGTGTTGCCAGCCAGCTCTCCCTACCAGGGAAGGTTGGATATGCCTTTGGTAACTGAATAGTGCAGATGAAACTGCTGGTAACTGAACTGCGTAGATAAAAGCTGTTTCAAGCTCTACATGGGCTTTGGTCTCTTTGTGCCATACCTTTCAGCCCTCCTGGCTCTGCAGAGTTTCCCAGGTGAGACAACCATGTGAGCCCAGCCAACCCGAGGAGATCAAAGCAGGGAGCTTCTTTCCCT